TCCATCACGTTGTGAACGTCTTATATATACAAGACTAACACATATCTAGTAAATGCAAGGGCATTCTTGAAGGAACAGGATATTTCTAGAAACAGGTGGCGTGATACTAGTCACGTGACCTCGCTGACGCAACAATATATTTATTCCGAACTCAAGTAAATGAAATAAAAAACAGTTTAACTCTATCTCACCTTAATGCTTACAAATTAATTTTGAAATTTAAAGTTTAGAAAAAATCTCAGGAAAATGATGGAAAAGAAACAGCACAGTGGAGAAGTTGTAAAAATTTTAATTAACATTCATTACTTTATTCAACATTTAAAAATTAATCAAAGTGTATTTAAATATTTTCGTATTTTATCTGTCTTTACTTTAAGAGCATAAAAAATAAATACAAATTCCACTTTGTGGGGCTGGTTGACACGTGTGTCAATATGCCCTAACTAGAATGTGTCAACGTGCCCCAAACCGCCATTTTACCACAAATTACTCTTGCATGTCTTTCCAGTCATAGTTATCAACCAAAGTTATGTACCATCAAATTGCTTAAAGATTGCACTTTCAAAAGCTATGTAGCTTAAATTCTCTTAACAAAGTATTTAGTTAATATGACATAAAACTTTCACACTAGAAAATACTTATGTATGAGAAAATATCAGTTTTTCATCCTGCACACGACAGAGGCTTCCGATCACGATGAAACGACAATAGCAAGTGACGCGTGTTTGGATGTACTAGAGGACATGATATTACGACTATGAACCTCAGCTTATGAAAAGATATCGGTATTATACGAACTCGCCGCTTTAGCCAACCCAGTCTCCCCTATTATCAAGTCGTCAACGGAAAGTCATTTTCTAAACAAAATACCTACCTTTTCACTGATTGTCCGATACACTGATATTTTGTTCATACATACAGATAAAAATTCGTGACACATTTCGTATTTAATAGTTTTATAATATTTGGGCTGAAAATGTATTGTAAGGAAAGTGAAGAATTCGCGTGAAAGCACTAGCCATAGCAAATACATAACTAAAGTATTTATTGTGTGTATCATTTAACTGTAACAACATAAACCTTTAAATCCTGCTTATTAATCCAACTCAACACACTGTAATAAATTATTTAACGTAAAAAGAGAAATTACATTAGTATGAAAAATGTAGACCGTCTGTTACTTTTGATTTTTTTACATTTTTTACACAGAAGCGTGCCTAATTACTTTCTAACTGTCAGAGATTACTATCAACCTTCTAGTAGGCATGAGTATGAAATAGTTAGTGAAAACAAATATCTCTATACTGATGGTATAATTATATCTCTATCTTTTCATTGGTATTAACATTTCTATAAATAATGTAAGACTATATTCCAAATGAACTCAGTATGCAGTGACTGTCATTGTTAATTCAGTTTTTTGTCAGGAGGTAAAAGTATTTATTCTTAATTGTTTTTTTATTAATTTCCGCTCAAAGCTATTCATGGATTGTCTATACGCAAGCGTCCTGCTAGACTAGAGGAAAGACAGCTAGTCAACGGTAAAAAAATATTGAACTTATTCTTTTATGAGAGAATAATGGGATATGACCGTCAACTAAAATACACCCACCGGCTCAAATTGGAAAGCTCGTTTCTGTGTCAATAGGTCGCCAACTCCGAACCCTTGAACTCACAATACAAGCCCATTAATCACTATCCCACTCTCAGCCCTGCAAGTATAAAGTAACTCCTGAAAAAAAATACTTGTATGTTTTCACTGGCTCATTACTTCACATAGCATAATAAAATATCCCAATGATGTCAATATACAATATGTAGTTTTTAATACGCTCTTTATCAAGGGAATGTTGGAACATAAATTTGATGACTTAATCTAATTTAGTTGTCTCTCTCTCTCTATTTCTGTATGTACCATATCCAACCAGAACGTTGGTGACCATGGTCTTCCACTGATCTCTTCTATGTACCATATCCATACACAACGTTGTTGACCATGATCTTCCACAGATCTCTATATATGTATCATATCCATACAGGACGTTGGTGACCATGATCTTCCACACATTTCTTCTATGTACCATATCCATACAGGACGTTCTTGACCATGGTTCTCCACAGGTTTCTTCTACGTACCATGTCCATATGGGACGCTCTTGACCATGGTCTTCCATAGATTTCTTCTATGTACCATATCCCTACAGGACGTTCTTGACCATGGTCCTCCACAGATTTCTTCTATGTACCATATCCGTACAGGACGTTCTTGACCATGGTCCTCCACTGATCTCTTCTATGTACCATATCCGTATAGGACTTACTTGACCACGTTCTTCCACACATTTCTTCTATGTATCATATCCATACAGGACGTTGTTGATCATGGTCTTCCATAGATTACTTCTATGCACCATATCCAAACAGGACATTGGTGACCATGGTCTTCCACAGATCTTTATATATATGTACCATATCCATACAGGACATTGGTGACCATGATCTTCCACAAATTTCTTCTATGTACCATATCCATACAGGACGTTGTTGACCATGGTCTTCCACAGATTTCTTCTATGCACCATATCCATACAGAACGTTGGTGACCATGATCTTCCACAGATTTTTTCTATCCACCATATCCAAACAGGACATTGGCGACCATGGTCTTCCACAGATCTCTATATATGTACCATATACATTCAGGACATTGGTGACCATGGTCTTCCACACATTTCCTCTATGTATCATATCCATACAGAACGTTGGTGACCATGATCTTCCACAGATTTTTTTCTATCCACCATATCCATACAGGACGTTGGTGACCATGGTCTTACACAGATTTCTTTTCCTTGAGGCACAAATAATTTCCAATGTCGATACATTCATCCATTTAGATAAACTCTTAACATAAGTCAACCTTTATCTTTCACGGTCTCTCCTTACTTCAATCTTGCCAATTACGATCAGACTTTAAATTTCTTTCCTCGTAACGTGTCTTAAAAATTACAGCTGTCTCTTCCTGCAACCTACTCTTGACAAAATATCTTTATTCGAGGTGTGACTTGTCCAATATACCTTCAAGATATACATTGAGAACCACAACTCAACTGTTTTAATTCCCTTTTCCATACTTGGCGATATTGCCCAACATTGTGATGAATACGTGAAAGTTGGTATAATGTAGGAATCCAAAACTCTTAACTTCGTCCCCATAAAAATTTTACCATTAATTTAGCAGTAGCTTTTTTTATAATATTATTCGTTAAAAGGTGGCGCTGTTTAACTTGTTTAGGTTTTATCATATTGAAATAAATCAGCTTTGGAAATGAGAAGTTCAGTTTTTAGTACTCGATCTTTAATATATTTCGGACAAACAAATTTATCTATTAATATTTCTTCATATTTTAATAAATCTCTTTACAGCTCTGCTATACGCCACTATTTTTGGCCACGTGACCACAATCATTCAGCAGATGACGTCAGCTACAGCACGTTATCATGACATGTTAAACAACGTTCGCGAGTTTATGAAACTGCACGAGGTGCCCAAAGCATTAAGTGAGCGTGTTATGGATTACGTAGTGTCAACATGGGTCATGAGCAAAGGAATTGATACGAAAAAGGTAAAAGTCCCATGAACAAAGATAATTTAATACTGTAAACGTTGGTTTTTGATGAATTAAAACAACATACTTAATTAGTGAGAAAAGTGTTGTTTTTATCAAATAATAATATTTGTGTTTTTCAAACTTAGCATGCCGGCTTTGTAGCAATTGCTTAACTTTGAATGAGGGTTGTCACCTGTATGGAGAAATAGTAGTTTTCAAATATACTGTAGAATAAATGACAAGAATAATTTTGGTCATTGCAAACCGAATGAAATAGCTCAAGAGTTCTGGCACATTTTGCCCATTAACAAATTCAAAGAGTAAAAACAAAACGATGTTGAATTCACGATGTAGTGATTCAGTTGATCAAATCATATGCCCAGCAGGCTCAGTTACTGAATTCCGCCTAGTTCTACTCTTAAACATTTTTTAAAAAAATCACTCGACAGAGTTGTGACAGTTTGGGTTGTTAAAAATTGCCTTAGTAGCAATAACTAGTAGATTAACCCTTCTACACAGTTGGTATAATGATCATCATCTGCACATGATGCCCGAATTCAAACCTGATGCAGAGAAATAAAAAATTACGACATAAAAATTAGTGTGCAGCTAGTATAGTTGTCCCACGGCCCTGGGATAAGGCCCGTGAACAACCATTGTTTTTGAGAGAGGAAGAAGTCATAGTTTGAGTTATTAAAAAGTGTCTTACTAAAATTGTTAATGAATCATACCTTTATATCATTTGGTAGAGCATTCGTCTGGTGTGCAAGAGGTCTTTGGTTCAATACCCAGTCGAACACAATTACCACAGTGTCTTACTTTAAACATTTCTGTGCTTACAAATTGAGTAAGTTGACTCCCACTTCTTTACGAGTGTCTTTTGAATGCTAAAATAATTAATTATTCAGTTTGAAAATTTGGATCTTTATAAAATATTCTTTCATCTGGATGGCCATATGTATGTGTAGAAGCAGTGGAGAAGGCTGATCCGAGGCTACAAGTGGAAAGTTTTGCTCAAAAACTTAATTTGCCACAAACTATATCTTACAGACATTAAGGACAGTGTTCCACCTTTTTTACTTGCTTTTGTAGGTCGAGTTTTGATTATCAATTGAGTTGGTTATAAGATATCCCCTAAACATATTAGGCTTATTTTCATCATAGTGGATATGTCATTACAGGAAGTGTTGTCATGTACCCCTCCCCCATGAAAACCTACACCCAATTCATTAGAAGCCCACCTACGATCCTTGTCTTACTGTAAAATGTAGCTTTTTTTTATTCTGATTTCTCGTTTCTTTATAAGTATTGAAGAAACTGACTGCATTATAATTATTTTGGTAAATAGAGTCCGTTATGACAAAATATTAGATCACGTTATTCTTCGTCTACATTAGCAAGACACTGAGAACATTAACTTCCAAGAAAACTGGAAACTCCTTTATAATCATCCTCTTGTTAAAAGTCGTCTTACATTTCTACTGAAGACAGAATCATAGACAATCCATTGAGACAAATATGTTTGGCGAGAATATTGGGCATTGTATCAGGCAATCTTGGGCTGGGGAATTCTCCAAAAAGAATGTATTTAAGAATATCATCATGAAATTTGTGAAATGTGAAAACGACCTTTAGAAATGGGATTGCAAAGATTAATGGAAACTGTCCATGAATTCTTACACTAGTTTCACTTAGGGATGCGCTTGATATGATGATTGAGGATGAAGGAACTCATATTGAACACTTTAATGGCAGATTTTGAAACACTTTATATCATTTCTAAACTTTACAGAATAAAACATACAATTCTACATGTGTATCAGAAGAAAGAGATAATCGTTTTAAATATAGAAGTTTTGTTTATAATAATATTGTAAATTACAATGCACTACGTCTTGAAAGGTGTTTTTAAGCCTAATATTTAAGCTAAAAGTATATAAAAAGCTAATAACCTAGATTTATTACTTTTCAGATAAGAAAAAAAATATTCGTGTTTGAACGTAACATAGAATAAACTGAAGTGATTTTTCCCTTTTGGTTGTTGTTAAGCACAAATTTATGCAAGAGGCTATCTGTGCTCTGGCTGCCACAGGTATCAAAACCCGAATTTTAGTGTCGTCAGTCTGCATACTATCTGCTGAACCGCTGGTGGCATTCAGTTTTGAAAGTCAGGAGAAATCTTACAAATAACAAAATATACATTTAAAATATAACTTAGCAAAATCTCAGACTATGAGTAGTTTCATAGTTTAAGTTTTAATATAGTTCAGGCATGATACCATCATCTACATACGTATAGTGTTAAAATAAGGAAAAGTAAGGCCCTTTCACCTTTATAGAATGTTAACCTTTTATTTATTCTAAGGTGCTGAACTATTGCCCGAAGGACATGACTGCTGATATCTGTGTCCATCTAAACCGCAAGGTGTTCAATGAACATCCAGCTTTCCGACTAGCCAGTGATGGCTGTCTTCGTGCTTTAGCTATGAACTTCACCATGGACCACAGCGCACCAGGAGATCTCCTATACCATACAGGGGAGAGCATTGATACACTGTGTTTTGTCGTTTCCGGCTCATTGGAAGTCATCCAAGATGATGAAGTTGTAGCTATATTAGGTGAGAACTTTTCTTTATCAATATCGATATCACTGACTGTTATCAATAGGAGTCAGATTTTTGCTTTAAAATCTAAAACTCTAACTCTGCCCATCCACAGTGTATCCTTATAAAGAAAAGAATCAAAAGATAAAGATTAATTTGAATATAACAAATACTACTACAAGTTTTCAATATGTTTTACCTTAAAGGTAGAAGACCACGCACGTACGCAGGTGGGGTTCAAGGGGGGTTCTGCCGAACACCCTATTTTTGTGATGTAAAAAAATATTGCTACTAGGTTCATGTGAACGTTCGGCATCTACTCTCCGCTGGTTGAATAATTAGCTGAGGTGTACAAAAACCGAAAAAGGCTCTATCTTTAATACATAACCATTATGACACTGCTATCAATGTTGAAAAAAATGGACAGCTTTTGCCACTGACCTTTGTGTTCATGGATTCTCATCTATTACAAGACACCAAACTGTGTTTACCACGGTTAGAATATGCCTTGTTGTAGGTCTCTATCTGTATGGTTCTGGATTCCAAAGTTGACCCATATTCCTCTGTTTTCAATGTCATTACGTGCAAGGAATATCCCTCTTTGTGAAATTCTAAATCCCCAATCGCAATGCTTCTTTATGATCTAAGTGTATGAATATTTTGCATCCAAAAATAATCAAGTTTCCATAGCTTTACACTACCTACTTAATGACAAACATAGTCAAAATGTAGCTCTTATACATCCGTTCCACGGTGTCTTTATATCGATTGCAGTTGACACATGACTTGCTTATTTGTATATTCAAACTAGTTTTGATATAACGTATTTAACTCTATGTGATATAATGCTTTCTGTTGTTTGATTTCCTCTTAACAGGCTGTTTTGAGTACTATTGATTTATCAATGTAGAAACGTGAAGGCAAATTACGGTTTTTAAGCTAGAACATAAGCTGGGACATTACTTCCTACACACTTGAATGTCTATGTGCAGTAATGAAATCATTGATTTTCATAATGTTGTTTCGTAATCTGTTTCATATATTCGCACAAAGCTACATTAGGGTTATCTGCACCAGGCGTTCCTAATTTTAAGCTGACAGACAATAAAAAAGACAGCTAGTCAACCTCACCCACAACCAACTCTTGGGCTACTCTAATAGAATAATGGCGTCACTCTTATAAAGCACCTATGCCTCCAAAGTGCAGAGAGCAATTTTAGTTTTGCGACAACAGGACGCGAAACATTAACTCACGGATCTTCAATCCGCAACGGTAACTACCAAGTCACGCCCAATAAGGACAAGAGCTACAACGTTCTCCTAAATTTGTGCGCAAAAAATTTGTTCTCGGGTCACAGATAGTATCAACCTATAACGTCGTTATTGTTTTATTTGTGTAGTGTACAAGGCTTTAAAGTTGTTTAATTTTTACCTGAAGCCCAATTTGAAGTTAGGAACGTCTTATTGAAATCATACAATACTGTTGCGTCAGCGAGGTCACGTGACTAGTGTCACGCCCCCTGCTTTCTGGAAATATCTTGTACCTTTGTGAATAGTCGGGAGATTACTAGATATAGGGTAGTCTGGTATATATATAAGAGGGTGAGTAATTGACCTGCAGTGAGAAAGTATTGTTGAAGTTAACGTTCGTTATAGCGTTTGTTTTAGCGCGAATGTTGAAATCAAGTGTATCGGTAAAGTTATATTCAGAAAGAATAAACCAGTTTTATTAAGTAAGGACTTGTGTCGCTAAAGTTTCGTCGGAACGAAGTTACGGAAAATCAATTAACAAACGGAGACGTAACAATACCTAAACAATATTGCTAACGCGGTACCTGCAAGAGTGGATTAGACGCGAGACACCATGACTTATATATATATATATATATATGTGTGTGTGTGTAGATATATGTGATCAATCATACTTAGTTTAATCAAGCTTTATAAGTTTGTTTGTTTGTTTGTTTGGAATTAAGCACAAAGCTACACAATGGGCTATCTGTGCT